TATCCATTAGTTGTTGGAAGATAGATGGGGCAGTCTTAACTCCAAAAGGTAGACGGTTATACTGGAACAAACCACGATGGGTGTTGATAGTAAGCAGCTCTTTAGATGCTTCATCGACTTCCACTTGCAAATAAGCATCAGCTAGGTCAAGCTTTGCGAAGAACTTTCCTCCATTCAGCATAGTGAACAGATCTGCTGGGACTGGCAGAGGGTAATGATGCTGTTCTAGAGCTGCGTTGAGACCTGTAGAGAAGTCAGCACATATACGTATCGTGCCGTTGGCCTTCTTGATAACGACTATAGGTGCTGCCCAACTGGAGTAAGAAACGGGAGTAATAACTCCTTGTCGTTGAAGGCGATCCAACTCTTCATCTACTGTTGCTAGTGTTGCATAAGGTACAGGTCTCTTTGGACAAAAAGCAGGCTTAGCCCCATGTTTCAACCGAAGTGTTGCTTTCATAGCAGTGCACTGACCTAATCCAGGTTCAAAAATGGTTGAAAACTCTGTCATCAGCTTCTTCGTATATGCTTCGGGGTCATGTGGTTGTGATACCAGGTTGCATATGGTATTTAACGGGACATCAGCCAATTTTAGCTGGTCGAACCAATCTAAACCAAGTAAATTTAGATCAGCTAGCGTTATATAGCATACCCCAGTAAACGAAGAATCTCGGAAAGCAACTTTACATTCCAATTGTCCTAACAGACGAAGATAATTACCACATGCTGTACGAGGCTTTTGTGTTGTGTGCTGCAGGCTTGGGCTACCCAATTTGGTCCAATTTTTGCGTGAGAGGATAGTGACATCAGATGCAGTATCTATTTGCAATCTACACAAATGCCCGTTAATATTAAGAGTAATAAATTTTCTCTCACCTGGTGATGAGCTTTGGCAGGAGGATATTAGGCTCAATGCATTGGTACTGGATCTAGGAACAGCCTTCTTAGCACTTCTGGATCGCTTTGGCTTTTTCTGTAGGCAAAAGCCATCTTTATGACCGATGACTTTACACTTCCTGCATCTATGCTGCCTAAATGGGCAGCTCCGTACATAGTGCCATGAGCCGCAGTGCCACCAAGCAGAAGGGGGATTCATTTTGGGTTTTTGGGCAGAATCGGAGCGGGATGAACTGGGTGTGGCATGGGCAGAGTTGTTATGATAAGGTGGCTGCTGTACCAAATGAATTTCAGATCGGCATGAACTACCATTCTGAACTATAGTTGAGTCTCGTTGTAGGCTAGTGAGACGTTGGTACTCATGAGCCATATCATTAAGCGTAAGCTTCGGATCTTGCTCCAAACGACTTAGTAGCCTTGTTCTAATGTCACTGAACTTACTCGACTGGAGGCTGCAGATGAATATAAGGGCTTTGAACTGATCTTCCGACAAAGACTTCAACCGAAAGCGTTCGCATTCACGGTTGACGATGCCAACGTGCTTAAGAAAATCATCATCTTCGTTCATAATTAGCTTCAAACATCGATAACGAGTATTAAATAGTAACGAGTTGTCTCCAAAGTGTTGGCTTAAAGTCTGGACAGTCACAGAAAACGAACAATCTCGTGGGTTCAAAGGCAGGATCAAATTACAGTACTTATCCAGCTAACTTGCGCCCAACTTTCGAAGTTGCAGCCGAACCTCCCAAGCATCATCTTGGTTGGCGAAGTCAAATTTAAATAAATCTTCATAACGCCGGAACCACGTGTCAAAAGTGACATTTGCATCAGGATCATAATGAAATTCAGCTATGCTATTTGCGATGCCGTCGACCGATGGAGCTGTGGTTGCATTAGATGAGCTGGGCTGTGTGGAAGGGGAAATCTTCATGTCTGTCAACATCTGCATCAGTTTCAGCTGCTGCTCAAGTAGTAATTCAAGTTTGGCAGGATCCATATTTCCAAAAGCACCGTCGCCACTGATAAGTTCGTCACTTAGTATGCTTGAGGCTATTACGAGTTTACCTTAGTCGATAAACGCGAACGAGACTTTTACCAGCTTCCAGGGAGGCTACCTTGAATCCGAGGCTGAAGTGAAAAGTCTTTGTATGCGTGGAAAGTGTATTCTACAAACACCCAGCAATCACAGTACAATCAAGCATACAACTCTCGTTTATTTATACAACATAAAAACGTTCTTGAGACAGTTAAGAAAATAGCATACTAAAATACACAGCAGCCAATGACAGCCATGGATTTTCCTGGTGGGAATTGAAATCTCAAGGTCATCTGATCAGCCCATGCTGGCACAACGTGAAAACCAAAATACGGCATTATCAAGCGAATTTCGGGGATCTAACATCCCCAACAAAATGTCAAGACAGTTCTACTGTATGGAGCAGAAACTTGGAAAACTACCAAAACCATCATCCATAAGATATTTATTAAAAGCTGTCTACATAAAATAGTTCAGATCCGTTGGCCAGACTCCATCAGTAACAACCTACTGTGGGAGAGAACAAACTAGTTTTCAGTGGAAGAGGAACTTAGGAAGAAGCGATGGAAGTGGATAGGACACACTGCGAAAAGCGCTTAACTGAGTCACAAGACAAGTCCTCACATGGAACCGTCAAGGTGAAAGGAAAAACGGAAGGCCAAGGAACACATTTCGCCGAGAAATAGGGAAAGACATAAGAAGAATGAACGAAAACCGGAAAGAACTAGAAATGGAAGCCCAGGACAGTGTTGGTTTGAGAAAACTGTTCGGCGGCCTCTGCTCTATTGATGTTAACAGGCGTAACTATTTAAGTAATGTAAGAGAACGTGGCTTAGAAGTTTTTACCAATGAGAAGAGTGTCTAAAGATACTAATACTGTATATTACTCAGTGTTTCAATGTGACACTACTTTAATTTACCAGTTAGTCAACAACGTTTTCAATTTTTTATTCACGGTATTTTCATTTCCATTTAAAGGAGTAAGCATGACAATATGATCGTAGTAGTAATGGTAGTAGGTTGAGATCATTTATTCTCATATTTCATACCGTTTGTGCGATCCAGTGAGAGAATTGTTGAAGGTTTCATTAAACATCAGCTTATCATAGAAGTTTCGTTCATCTAAAACTTCAATTCTGATATATTTATAACAGATGACTGAAGCAATTTGATTTCAATGTATTTTTTTAGAAATACTTATGAAAATACTAACGATAATCATATTAGTTAATAAAAATGTTTTTTTGGTGTTACTGACTCAATCTTTTGAATTAAATGATACTTCTGTCTATGTAATTTGTCAATCCTACTGATACTCGATAATCACAAATTATTCAAGAAATTTTAATTTGTTATAGTCATTAATCAAATCACTTTTTTAACCTCAATATCATCTGTAAAGGATCAATAATTGGAATTACAAGTGAATGATTGATTCGAATGAGTAGGATACTTTGAATCATTATTCATTCCAAGCCATGGATGGTATGAATGAATAGTGATTTGTAATCTAGTCATTATTAATGTATCCTAATTGACTAATGAACACAAATATTTCCCAATTAAGTTGCTTGTTTCCATTTCTATGATAAACACTTCCAAATAAAATGGTAGCATCCAGAAATTAATGAGATCTAGACCGACATACAGTTTCTGAGAAACCAAAATAGTTTATCTATAAACGTGTTTACATTCAAATAAATCATTATTTTGCAATTGTAACATATAGGAAGTTCAAATAACATAATTCTAGTGTGTTGTTTCACAATTTTAATTCGATTTTATTGTTAACGTTGACCAATTACCAATGAATGTAAATGTTCAAACAATCAAAATATTTCCTCACTATTCTACTTATATCTAAATTTAATCATTCCATTGAAGATTATCTTATTTTATTCAGACTTATACTACTTAATTCTTCTATAAAACATCAGTCTATATTAATGGATTAACATAACATTGAACTTTGTGATGACTATACTTTCACTTCACTAAATCATATTGATAGATATCAGAGGCAGAATTACAACATTTTTTTTTAATCTTCGTTATTAGTCGAATGAAAATTCTATAGATTCACTTTGTTTGATGTTTAGTGAATTTTTTATCGATGCAAATGATATAGAATTCAATCGATATTTGAATACTTTGTAATGTTATCAGTATGGATGAACAGTTTTCAGTTGACTTGATGAGTATAAGACTGAATATTATGTGACTATAAGCTTCTAATAAGGAAACACACCTTGTCAAAAATAAACCCGATAATCACCACAAGAAGAATTAGGTTATATCACATAATTAGGTGGTTTTGCTTTTGTTGACGCTCATTTGCAAAACTTACATACAACAAAATAAAATGAACACGATATTTGGTTACTTGGTTTATAAACCTTAATTTCATCTCGAACGATAGAATTCGATCATCGTCAAGGATCAGATAATCATGATATATATGATTACTTACTGGCAAATTAATATTGAAAACGACATCATATATAAAACACTTTATTTATGTTTCAAATATTATGCGTGGCTAGTGAAAGTAAGATGTGATTGGCCAGTGATTTGTATTATGAACTTTCTGACTATTTGCACTTGAGTAGAATGAATTACTGTTTTGCCGTATACTCTGCTTCTCTATTATCGGTCATGAATAGTATATCTGATATAACATGGTAGGTCTATGTATAACGTACTGATTGAGTAACAAATCTCGGTTATCGGTCTCATTATTGAATATTAGTAGTATACCACAAAAACGAGAAAATATTCCCATTCATCTGTTATATCAGAGACGACAATGGAGTCACACTGAGTTAACGTTTTCTATTTGTTAATGTTAAACATTTAATGAGTAAAAAACGTTTCTTGTTGGTTAATGTTTATACTGTATTGAATTATTAAAATAATAATGAATTGTTTCAACAATCAATGTATTCATCAGTAATCATCATAAACAAATTCGACCAATCACATTTTTCTATATGATGATGTTTCTAATTGTAAATAAAAATAAACATTCAACTATTAACGATAATTATTGTTAATAAAAAAAACTTACCGTGAAAATATTTTTTTCATTAAAGATATAGTATAATTTAATGCTTTATTACTCGGTAAACGACATGGTTGATAATAAAGTTGAAGAGATTTTTCAGTGGATTGTAATTTAAATGAAACATCAGCATTCCATAATAATCGATTATAATACGATTCATTGATCATTTTAATATCATATACATGACGTTTTGTTTCACAATTTTGAATGGAATATTGTATAATTTTTACTGGATAAGCTGTACTAATATCCATACGTTTATTAATTGCATAAATATTAATAAATAATTTAAGTGAATGATTCACATGTAAATCATTTAAAATTTGTGCTAGTTTTGGAGTGAGTTTAATCTTTGAAAATTGAAATCAAAACAAAAAACAAATGATATTTTTCAATATTTATGAATTAATTTCAATAGGGAAAATTATAATAATAATAATAATAACTTTAATTAATTTTATTATAATTATATTTTGGGTCAACAATTAATGTAATTGAATAGTTGATGTAATACAATGAAAGTTGAAGGATAAAATACCTAATGGACTGTTGTATATTTCTAATAGTGAATTACTTATTTATGAGTATTTCGAATTCTACAAAAGAATCAACATCTCAAGCATATGATGAGAGAATGATTTTTTTCAACTGGTCGATCAGAACCCAACTGAACACACTCAGAGTTACGCACAAAAATTAAATTTTGTCAAAAGAACACATTGTATTTTCCTAGATGTGAATAAAATCTTATGACCAAATCGTCCTCTATTGTCAAACACGTAGTTAAAACACGTCATCAGATTGATCTTGTTTCGGAATTTGTGTTGTTGAATTAAAGAATTTCAGGGCGTATACTAAGATTTATTGAAGCCTTAGCCATATAAAAGTTTAAACCCCTTTTATTTATTCAGAAAACAGTTTGTTCTCACTCTAAACCTACTTTGATAATATTTTTTTATTATCCGAGGGTGGTGAGTTTTTCAATGCTTTTACTTACTTACTTTCGCCTGTTACTCCCAATGGAGCATAGGCCGCCCACCAGTTTTCTCCAACCAACTCTGTCCTGGGCTTCCCTCTCCAGTTCTGTCCAATGTTTGTTCATTCCTCTCATATCTTTCTCTATTTCTCGGCGTAGTGTGTTCCTTGGCCTTCCTCTTTTCCTTTTGCCTTGAGGGTTCCATGTGAGGGCTTGTCTAGTGACGCAGTTGGGTGCTTTTCGTAGTGTATGTCCTATCCATCTCCACCGCTTCTTCCTGATTTCCTCATCCACTGGAATCTGACTTGTTCTCTCCCACAGTTCGTTGTTGCTGATGGTGTCTGGCCAACGAATCCGAAGTATTTTGCGTAGACAACTGTTAATAAACACTTGTATCTTCTGGATGATGGCTTTGGTAGTTCTCCATGTTTCCGCTCCATACAGTAGAACTGTCTTGACATTTGTATTGAAGATCCTGATTTTGGTTTTGTTTGAAAGTTGTTTGGAGTTCCAGATATTTTTCAACTGTAGAAATGCAGCCCTTGCTTTGCCAATCCGCGCCCTCACATCTGCGTCCGATCCACCTTTCTCGTCGATGATGCTGCCAAGATATGTAAAGGTGTTAACGTCCTCCAAGGTATCTCCATCAAGCGTGATTCGGTTGGTGCATGTTGTGTTGCATCGGAGAATTTTGCTTTTTCCTTTATGTATGTTGAGACCTACTGCTGCAGAGGCTGCTGCTACACTGGTCGTCTTCTCTTGCATTTGTTGTTGAGTGTGCGATAGAAGAGCCAGGTCATCTGCGAAGTCCAGATCGTCCAGCTGCGTCCTAACTGTCCAGTTGATACCGTGCTTCCCTCCAGATGTTGACGTCTTCATAATCCAGTCGATGACCAGGAGAAAGAGAAAGGGTGAGAGTAAGCAACCTTGCCTCACACCGGTCTTCACCTCAAAAGAGTCTGTCAGCTGACCTCCGTGCACGATTTTGCAGTTGAATCCATCATAAGAATTCCGTATGATGTTGACTATATTCTCAGGCACACCGTAGTGTCGAAGAAGAGTCCACAGTGTTTTCCTGTCCACGCTATCGAATGCCTTCTCGTAGTCGATGAAGTTGATGTAGAGTGGTGAGTTCCATTCAATTGATTGTTCCACAATGATCCGTAATGTAGCAATTTGGTCAGTACACGATCGATCCTTACGAAATCCAGCCTGCTGATCTCGAAGTTAGGCGTCTCCGAAGTCCTTCATTCTGTTTAACAATACTCTGTTGAAGACTTTGCCTGGTATTGAAAGAAGAGTGATGCCTCTGTAGTTTTCACACTTGCTGAGATCGCCTTTCTTTGGTATTTTGATGAGGTATCCTTCTTTCCAATCTGATGGTACTTGTTCCTCATCCCAAATCTTCTTGAAGAGAATGTGAAATATTTTCGCAGTTGCTTCTACATCTGCTTTCATTGCCTCTGCTGGAATGTTGTCTGGTCCTGCTGCTTTGCCGCTCTTGATTTGTCTGAAGGCTATACTGATCTCCTCAATCGTAGGTGCGCCAACATCGATTGGGAGGTCCGTGGATGCTGCTTCGATGTTGGGTGGGTTCAGAGGAGCTGGTCGATTCAATAGTTCCTTAAAGTGCTCCACCCACCTATTTCGCTGTTGTTCAGTGTTGCTGATTATTTTCCCTTCCTTGCTTTTCACTGGTCGTTCTGGTTTACGATAGTTCCCGGCGAGCTTCTTTGTAGTTTCGTACAATTGTCTCAAGTTTCCGTCTCTTGCAGCCTTTTCCGCCGTCATTGCTAGATAATCCACATATTTTCGTTTGTCAGCTCTGATGCTCTTCTTCACTTCCCTGTTTGCTTCTGTATACTCGGCTTGCGCCTTAACTTTCTCTGCTCTTGTTCGGCAGACATTGATAGCTGCCTTCTTGTTCCTCCTTTCTTCAATTTTTGCGAGAGTACCAACAGAGATCCATTCCTTGTGATGGTGCTTCTTGCGACCAAGGACCTCCTGACGTGTTGAAGTGATTGCCTCCTTGATCCCTTTCCAATTGTTCTCCAATGTTGCTTCCTCTCCATCGAGTAGATCCTGAAAGGCCTGGAACCTATTGGTGAGGGCTATCCTGAATTCGTTGAGTTTTACGGTATCCCGAAGAAAGGCCCTATTAAACTTCTGTGATGTTGTCCTCATCGCTGTCCAGTGCTTCTTTAGCTTCAATCTCATTTTGGCGATCAGCAAGTGGTGATCTGAAGCTATATCAGCTCCTCTCTTGGTTCTCACATCCTCCATGGTCCTTCTGAACTTTTTGTTGATACAGATATGGTCAATTTGGTTTTGAGTAGTGTGGTCCGGTGAAATCCATGTGGCTTTGTGAATGCGTTTGTGCGGGAATATTGTGCCACCAATGACCAGTTTGTTGAAGGCACATAGGTTTGCAAATCTCTCACCGTTTTCGTTCCTTTCTCCCAGTCCATGTCGTCCCATGATCTCTTCATATCCAGTGTTGTCCATTCCAACCTTGGCATTCAGGTCTCCCATAAGAATCGTCAAATCCTTTGGTGAACATTTCTCGACGATTGACTGCAGCCTTTCGTAGAATTGATCTTCATCGTCGTCATTGTAGTCGTTGGTAGGTGCATAACATTGGATGACGTTCATTGTAATGTCCTCTTTCTTTGTTTTGAAGGATGCTTTGATGATCCTGGGTCCATTAGATTCCCATCCTATCAGTGCCTTTTGTGCATGTTTGGACAGCATCAGTGCAACTCCTTGTGTATGTGAAGCGTTTTCCTCTTCGTGACCAGAGTATAACAGCAGTTCCCCTGAAGCTAGTCTCAGTTGTCCTACCTGTGCTTAATGTGTTTCACTGATTCCAAGCACCTCGAGGTTGTATCTTTTCATTTCTGCCGCAACTTGAAATAGTCTTCCAGTCTCCCACAATGTACGAACGTTCCATGTACCTAAAAAAATGGTTGCTCTGGTTGTCAGAAGAGGCATCGGCCCCGTGACTTCCGAGGGAACTCGGCTTTCATCACGAGACGTCATAATTCTTCTTCCAACTCCCAGGGCAGAGTTAAAATGGTTTGAATTATTTTTTCTGGTTAGCGTTTTTTTGGCAAGTTAGATTTCAACGGAATGGGGCCGCCAACCCCATGTCCAACCCTCCTCCTTTATCCGGGCTTGGGACCGGCAGTAGCCCCTAAGGTTCTACTGGCGGAGTTTTTCAATGCTTTGACACATTAATTTTCTTTCTTAATGTTTGTTTCCTCTTATTCTTCATTTTTCTTGTTGACCTTTTATTTTTTCACACATATAAATGTTCTAACCAAGTAATAATTGTGTGATCAGATTGTTCGAAATGTATTGCTCCAGTATATCACAGTTTTGATTAGCTTCTTCTAATCAGTACATTATCGAAATTTATCAGTGAGACTGTCGGGGACGTTAGATCCCCAGAACTCACTTAATAAATGCCTTATTTTGGATTTCACGTTTCCGAGCATGGGCTGACCAGTTGACCTTGAGACTTCATTTCCCACCACGAAAATCCATGGCTGTGATTGGCTGCTGTGCATTTTGGTGTGCTATTTCTTTGACTGTCCCAAGGACGTTTCTATGATGTATAAATAAACGAGAGTTGTGTGCTTGATTGTATTGTGCTTGCTAGGTGTTTGTAGAATACACTTTCTACGCTTATCAAGACTTCTGTTTCGCCGTTTTCGGATCAATGTAGCCTACCTGGACGCTGGTTCATTGTCGCGTTCGTGCGTATTGACTAAGGTGAACCCATAATAGCTTCAAGCGTACCTACTGACGAACCTAATAGAGACTGATTGCTTAATTTTATTACGATTGAATTCCTAACTTAAAACATTTTTATAACCTTGATCATATTATGCATTACCACTTTATTTTCATTGTCTTCCACTTGAATATGTTTGACTATCATTTATAATTTTGTGAAAAATTCTTTATTTTATTATACAGTACTACCAGAAAGTGATATCGTCAAAACGAAAAATTTCTTCGTTATGACGTATTCCTTTGTTCGAGTTTAAATTTATCATTTTCATCATAAAGTTGCGAAGTATGTTGAGTTTCATTGAAGTCATTGATCGATACTTTTTAGGCTACTAATGCTCCCAGGTTTCTAAAGGTGCTCCAACAATGATCGATTCATGATTTCAATTAAATTTATTATTCACTTGTCAATTCAGGGATAAGAAAGAATATGAACAAATGAAAATCCTTCTTCAAGAGAAATTGATATAAAAACATTTGTTTTATTAAGCACTTACTCTTATCACTGACTTCGCACTACATTTATACACATAATTATCAATTAATTTTGATCTTAAATAATCAGTTTCTTGAAATACTCTAGGTCGTTCAAACTGTTCATTTGTATGATTTTCGAAAAGTTGACTTAATCTTGTCATTGCAGTACATTTGTAGTAAAGATTTTCATTCGCATTGATAACAGCACAATAATTAATTTGCAGTGGATTACGTATTACTGTTCTCCATGATATATCTAATATGTCACTAGAAAAAGAAACGTGACAATTTTTAGAGATACCATTGTTGATTACTTTTTGAAATTATTAACAAGTCTAAAATATATTCCTCAAAATATATTCACAAATGAGTGTAGAGACTACACAAGGTCTTGAACTTTCAGTCATATAGGTAGCTTTCAACTTATAAAACCAATGAGTCATCAAAATTCATACTTTAGTTAATTTGTAATACTAGCAAGTAGAAGCTTCCAATCATCCATATGGCTGTATCAGGTGATCAAAAGCCCAGGTTAGACAAGTATCGATTTTCATTTAACTGAACTAAGAACAAGCATAGATTTCTTATTTCCGTAAATTTAGTTTACTGACTTAATAAACTTTGTGGTAAACGTTTTCGAAATTTTTTAAATAAGCTCTGTAATCAGCATATTTTACCATTTTAGTTCAAATACTCACACAGTCATATCACCTCATAGAAAGTATCGATTCACCAACATTAGCACATAAAACTTTTGTTAAATTCCATGTAACATGAATTCGAAGTGTCAGACATTGTCACCTAACTAAAAAAAATTTTCTAAATATAACATTGACAAATGAGTAAAGGAATTTCCGAAATTTCTGATGCACTTGTACGGAGACGATATTTAAAATTTTTGAAATATCAATAAGTAGCAAATATTCTTGTGGTTTTTAAGATTTTCAAACTGTAGTGGTGTGGCATATGAATCCTTCTGTTTATACATTTCTTTCGTTCAATATTTTCTAAGAAAAACATCAGTTAGTTCGTACGGATTCATTAGAAACTCATAGTTAATATGTAGCCGTGTATCGATTAGACAAATATGTTAATTGTCTTCATGGTTTCGACTATAATCCATGAATTTAATTTCACAGATGAATTGAATAACTAATGTATATGGTGTATAGTTTGATTTAAGGATGAGAAATAGTTTTCGACCAGTATAATTAAAAATATTGTTTCTATCAACCATCATATATTATCACTTTCTCTTTATCCGTTATCAATTACATTTATGATAATGATGATGAAAGAATCTTTAGAAGTCGATTTTCCTGGCGATATGAAGAGATTTTTACCAGATATTGGTTATGCTACTTTTTTTAATACAAGTAGAATACATTTTTTTGTAAAAAAAACTGACGTGCGTTGAGAAACATGTTTCCATAACGCTATCTCCATGAAGTTAAGATACCAAGTAGATGCAAAACAGTTAAAATAAATTTTGAATCCCTAATGAATAATAAACTTAATGTCTTTTTGAAAATAAAATATGGAATGGAATGTTTGGAATTTTAAACAATTATCTTAAACTCATTTTTTACATGTTTAATACTAAAAAACAATCTTCATGTACCATCGCATTTATGATTTGGCAGGTAAAATAGTGGGAGATGTTTTTCAGTTTTAGACAATGAAGTGGTTTTAGTTAGGAAAAATTGTGAAGACCAAGAAGTGCTGGACAGACATTTCGTCATAGTCTAGAACAAATCAGTGGTAATGTTCATCCACACTCTTATCCGGGCCAGAACCCAGGTAATTCAGGTGTGGTGGTGAGATATTAGCTTTCAAACCACTGTCATGCAGTGACCTACAGATGTATCTTCAGTATATTCTCTATATTGTTCGACCCTTCTCCAATCTGTCTGACGATCAAACAAATTTACTCATAATCAACATAGTTAAACTCTACTAGTCATAACATCTTATTATAACTCATAGAATAACTTCTTGAAATTTACCCCCCTGTAATCACATGACCTATACGTACAGTAAATTTTCAAATGAATAGAAATCATACAAACAAATTTCCATTTTTAAACAAGACATATTTATTCTTTATCTTGAGTGGAATAAAATATGTTAAACTGAATAATCATTTTTTCAATGAATATAAATAAACAAATTTGAACCTCATCCAAATAAAACATCGAAATAATAGTCTACTATAAGTAGGATTTTCATTTGATAATTAAAATTTTTTATAGCACACAAATGAGTAGATTACTAAGACATTAGCGATTACATTATATTCAATAGCAGGAATAGATAATGAAGAGCTTTCTGTCTTTCTCTCAATCTAGAATATTAGGTTTCATTTCTATGTTAATGTATAGTTTAAGTGATGATTAGAAAAACTAAAAATTGAAAATATAGTTTGAAAAGAAGTAGGGAAAGTGCGCGCGCTGCTGAAGAGTCCCAAACTTGGATGAAACGGCCGTCCAATGCTTTTGGGTTTCTGATGGTGGTTTAACAACGATCAATTCACAATTTCAGTGAAAAACAACAAACTCTATAACTCTATTCTGAAAAAACATAAGTGATGGAATATTGGGACTTAATATCTTGAATAATATAAACAGTGAATACAGCTCCGCCATAATACTACTAGTAATAAGCCATGTAACACAACATCTCAAACGACTAATCGTATTTATTGTTCTAACCGTAATCAGGTAGTCTATATCAATCAGTTTGGTTTATACCGACAGTGAATAACTTTTTGAATTGATAGCATATTTTGGTTTAGGTACATTTAGTTTTATTTTAGTCTGCCACAACTTTACCTAGAATCATTCAAGTAATACATGTACCATCCACCGCAAATGATGCGTAATTATCTGACCGACAAATTTACTATCTTGATTAGTATTATGATTCCGTTAATTCGTTTCATATAATTGGAGGAATACATCTAAGTAACTTATAGTAAAATCCTTTTCAGCTTATGCATTTCTTCTGCATTTGTAGACTATATATTTCATAATCATAGAGTATTATGAAGTAGATTATTTTTGGATAGATAGATAGGTTGAATATATTCATCTTACTTGTTATTTTCATTTATTTCATCAAATTATATTTGTTGATTAATTTTATTTGATTATTTTCAGCTAATATTAAAATTTATCATGAAAGATTTACTTTAAAAAAATTATAATTTCATTACAAAAAAATGTTATTAGAATAAAATTAATATTACTTTTTTATTAAATTTTATTTATGAAAAGAATTAATAAACATACTTTGTATGTCGTACTAAACATACAGATATCGGTGAAAATTTATCCAATTCTGGATAACCATCTAAAGCATGACTGGGTGAACGACGTGTACTTAAACGTACATTATATGTATCACCGATAGTTCCATATAAACGTACATTTAAACTATCCGTTTTATATTTAATTTGTTGATAATGTAATCGTGAACGCGTTAAACCAAGAACAGTATCACCTTGATTAGTTAAAGTGATATTTGGTAGTTTCAGTTCACTTGGAAATGGTTCTATACGTATTTTCTGTTGAGGCCAATTTATAGAATCTGTATAATACAAAAAAAAATTATTCATAACAACGATTGTTATATTATTCATAACAAAATTATATATTGAACTCTCACTTAAAATTAATTTAACAAATGAAATGATGAAATACATTGATTGTATCTAATAATAAAATCCATAGTATGTGTTTCAATCTATTTAAGATTCATGAGATAGTTTCACCTTTTATATCTTAATAATATCATTCATATTCTGAATTGAATCTTTTAATTATCATAATCGAATCATAGTGAATTTATGATTCATACAATAATCTTAATGATCTTGTTGGATCAATGAATTTAAAGTGAATTGAAACAATGATTTCATCAATCACTCATGTTTTGATAAGTTTACAGGTTGTTTTTTTAAAAAAAAATAAATTCAATGGATAATTTATCAAATAATCAAATGCATTCTGTTTATGTTAACTGTCGTCATTGATTTCAATAATTTGTATTTTCTTTCAGCAAATATTTAATATTGAATTTGATATGTCTCTTGACACATTGTCTCCTTAAACAGATACTCCTGTATTATCTACCTTCAATAATGGATAGAAATGAATTGTACAACGGAATTTTGATCTTTTGTAAAACTTAACCAATAATTGTTCATCTATTAACTTGATCAACATCTCATCATAAATTTAAAATACATAACAAACTAATTAATTATGAGTCAATTTTGATAATTCATTAATTATTGATTTTAACATTTGAATTGATGGTTACTTGTGTTCAAATCTGAATGTATCACATCATCATCATGATCATCATCAATCAACTAAATACTATTCTTTTCATATACTTTAGAAAACGAAATATTTAATACAGTGAACGAAATAAACTATCCATTTATACACTATGAAACTGCATAGTGAGTTTTTTTTTTTAAACTATCAGTCAAACTATCGCTTATTGAATTTTACTTGAAGTCTTGTGTTTTTTTCTTAATTTACCTTATGCATTTTATCAGGGGCTTAACAACTGTATACTTAATTTCGATTAAGCACAATATTTTTATCGGGTTTGTAAACGAACACATTATCATTGACTATTTTCATGCAACTCTCTTTCTATCTCAGAATCGATTATAATCAGTTCTTCACTGATTATTCTGTACAATTAAAAATTGATTTGTTTTAAAAATTGGAATCCATTCCATTTTCAAATCTTTTAATTAATCATTACAATTTATCAATCAATAAATTGGTTTTGTTCAAATTTCACGATAAAAAGATATGTAGAGAAAATTGTGAAGTTTTAATTTTTTTATCTATAAAAGTTTATGATTGGAATAAATAACATCAAAAATATAAAACGCTATTTATAACTGTTTTATTAGGAAACAATGATTATTATTTTTTCAGTTTTTAAAATGAATTCAGAGATTTCGTAAACTTTTTTTTAATAATGATTTCTATATAAGGTTTTTATTGATCATTATTTAAGTCTCAACTTCATTTAAATTAAAAATTGTTGATTCATCGTAGTATGAGACTTTTCAGTGGTACACATTCGAAAATTCGAACAACTTGGCATTTGCTATTAAACTTAAATGTTCTAAGTTTGATCCTAAGTGAGTATTGTTAAAAAGTTATTTATTAGCATTTCAATTTTCAATAGTATGTCAACTGAGATCAGTCTGTTGAAGGTTAAACAAATCTCAACAAAACACAATCAAATAAACCCTTAAGTGGTGTGGAAGTTTTTTTGAATGTTTTTTAGAATATTCATTTAACTTTCAATGTTTTTTTCTATCGATTTTTCGTTTCGATACGTATATTTAATTTAAATATTTAAGTTTGTGTAATGAAATATTTGATAATGTTAACAGTTTTCATGAAAAAGAGTTTTCCTGTTTTCAAATGAGATAAAATATACATTTGAAATTACGAAACAAACATTCAATAGTACATATTGTTAACTTATCATACTAGTCCTAATTCAATAGTCAGTGTACATTTTAAATTATTAATTTAATTAAAAAAAGTTCATAACAAGTTTATTATATACAATAATAATAATAATAATAATAATAAATATATTTACAATGATTAATACTTACAGATTTCAGATTTTGACAATTGTAAACCATGAACTTTACTTTCTTCCCATGGTTCATGATATGCAGATGATCCAACAAATTCAATACGATTCAATGTATTTGTACATGGAGTTACAGTAAACCATAATGATCGATTATGACCAATAAAATATTGAATGCTATCAAAAATCAAAGTTAATGAATAGTTGTTTATATGAAGTAAAGAAAAAAAGTAAAAAGCATAACACATTACCATTGAACATTGTTACTTTGAAAGGATATGGAATATTGAAAATATAAGATAATATCAAGTAACTCTAATAAACGATGACAAATATAAACTAATCTTAGCATAAAATGGAAAATGGATTTGTTGTTTTATTTTTTTTTTAAAAATAAATTACACACTGATTTAGTTATTTTCAAGTTAAACGCCGTTTTTATTTTAATTAATTTTTGCATGTGGGTGAAAAAAAGCATTCATACATTGAAATACATACACTAAAGCATATTATTGTATAACTAAGGTCAAAAATTACAAGTTTAGTTGATTCACAAAGAAAAAAAATTAAATCAAATAAGCAATTACATTTAAACATAATAAACTAAAATATGAAGCAGTTCAATTTGCACTAGAAATTTTAATCTATGCTTGCGGGTACAAGTAACAATATATCTATCATAGGATGTTTATAGTTGGAATTAGGAAGCGAATAATATTTAATTTCATGATTTGTCAAAATTAATTAGATGGCTATTTCGAAAGAGTTTATTATCATCAACTTGCAAATGGCTAACTTGTAAATTTTTCTGATAATTCACATTGGAATTCATGAGATATTTGTTAATGATAGAATTGAACAAGGTAGTTATTCTGTATCACAAGGTGTTCAAAGTTTCAATCATATCATCATACTCTAACTCATTGATTCTTACGACTGAGCATCATGCTATTTGACGTCTGATTTTGATCTACAGTACGATCATAGATCCATACTGCTGAGAAATAAAGTACTAGAATGAAAAGGTTGTCCTGATTTTCAAAGGCACTTTAATTAGGATTAATTGGTGACTGAATATTGGTAAAATTATTGAATAGAATAAATTGTTTTTGTTCTCCATGAAATTTCATCATAGTTTTTTTGACTATTTTCTTTAATTCAAACTAAATTTATGAATAGTTCAGTGTTGTTTAAGAATATTAAGCAAATAAAAAATTCAATCAATTTGTCAACTATCAAAGATACTTCATCATACCATTTATCGATGAAATTTAGGTTATTCAAACTATTTTATTAGTAATAATCATAATAATAATAATAATAATAATAATAATCGGTAAATAGATTTAGAATGAAATTTGATATATGATGTTTATTATCATCATTTGTAAAAATTAATTGTCAGCTTAATTTTATCATCATTCATAATTTTTATATGTGATGAAGAATTTTCCAAAAAATAATAATAATAATATGAATTATGGTTTGCATCAAGTTGTTGAATACCTTTGTGAAAACAGTATTCAATATTGTGATCAACTAATTATATATATATATATATATATATATATATAAATGCAATATTAATGAGATATTCAATGAAAAGATGCTTAAAAATATCAGTAGAAATAAGTTATTGCATAATAATAATAATAATAATAATAATAATACAAATTATAAAGTAGAACATTTAAAACAAACAAACATTATATGATCAGTAAAATAGATTAAAATAAATAAATATGCAAACATAACACTGGACAAGTGATTTTTCGCATCCACTCTCCTCTATTTGTCTATACACACAAATACAAGCTAGACATGAAACATTATATAAATGAACATAATAGATAAAACTAGATGAAAGATAAATTTAAGAAAACTATCAAATTCTATAATGAGGGGAGATTCAAAGAATTTCAGAGGATTTTTGAATGTTCAACATTCAGTTCAATCGGCAATCGATAAAGGAGATTGTTATAGATTCTATTCAACAACCTATAACCGAATATAGTTCAACTAATCAATCAGTTATCAGAGTTTAATGGAACAAAATTTTTGAAATGAATTCAAAAATAAATACGACCTACACAACCTCTAGAAATAATTATTCACGCATAAAATTATAAAAAAGGAACTGAATTACCACTATCACATTAACTAAACATTTTGTTGCTACATGAAGTGATACATGAGGTGATACAACGTTAGATACAACGTAAGATACAACGTTACTAAAAGCATAACCTGCTTTAAATCAATGAATCCAATTTGTGTAGACTAAATAACTCAATTATGCGTATTCTCATTAGAAGTCATTGAATAGTTACTGTCTCATTTCTGCATTCTTCGACTCTACATTTCATGGATTCGTAAGATAAATACCTTGAAATTCCTCTATAAGTTTACCGCTTGTGTCCATGCGATTATTTTTTTAATCATTGGAATCACTAAACAAATCAAGTTGGAAAACCTGAAAGTGCTGACCAGTCATTTTGTGAAGATCCATAACCAGACACGCGGAGACCGAACTCACGATCATCACCTGACCTCTAGACCATTGAGTTGGCATTCAAATGTTTCCAATAGTTGTCTAGCTTTAATGGTTTCATAATTACAGTAATTTCCACATTCCGATACTGATGATTATTTGTAAGTTATGTTGTGATACTTCTATAGAGAATTCAAACCTGATGAATAAATTTTAATCCTTGTAGGTTTTGACTACATTCATTGCGAATTAACAAAATAAAGCATTTTTGAATGGGGAACACCGTTTTATTAGACAGTAAAACCGAATTTATCCAATGTTATTACTTGAAAATAATCTTTGATATATACACGCATAAAATAAACATATTGATATCTGATAATACTGATATCTAGTGATTGTTGAATTTGTGTTACCATCAATGAGTAATAAATCAGTGTAAATATTTCATTATGAAGTAGGGCTAGCCGAGGTAACAACAGTTAAATGGTAATACCTCCTATTATTCAACTATGCAATCAGGGTTCAGTTCAAGACAAGAGCAATGAGTTCGTAAAGCCTGTAAAGATACCGTACTAATAATTGTCAACTAACTAGTAACCATGTTCAAGTCAGCTAGATGTACCTCAGAGTTCCATCACATTCCATGACTCAAACCTTCGTAAAGGCATTAACAAGACAATCTGTATAGAATGCCCATATGCCAAATAAGATTGATTGAATTTCAGTCAGAATATCAACAAAAGGATAATCTAAACTATTTCCTGTTGAACGAATTATCTGTTTTGGTAAAAAAAAGGTTATTTCCTAGTTTTGCTATATTTATCTTCAATTATGAAGTATTTCTGTTGGGTTTTTTTTACGTGACTGATAGGCAGATCCCGACTTATATACTAAATAAACACCTGTTGATAATACTTTTTTTTATCGAAATCATGGTGTGTATAATAAAATCTAGAATGATAAAGAGACAATGACTCATTTTGTGAGTGTGTGATTTGAAATTGTCTAGCCGATTAACTACCGGTACTGCAATCGTTATCATCATTTAATTTAAAAATTGATTCTCTGTGATACTGTTAACAGTAACCATAAATAGAAAATGCTTAAAAGTTGAATTAATTTTCCCCATTCAGTTAAAAACGAACAGTGAGCTGGCACTCATGTGTGTAAATGTCTAAATTTAATCACTTGTGCTCAACCACCCTCCATTGACTACAGTGGATAACAACATAGTCTGACCGGCTCAATGGTCTAGTGCGAGACTGAAGGTCATAGGTTCATGGATACTCTCTGCTGTGGAGTCTCATACTAGGATGAAATAGCCTTCCAGAAGTGATCTAACTGAGATCAGTTCAAGATTCGAAACCTAAGCATACTCTATGACCTACACAAAATCCTATACTGAGAAAATTAGGTAAATAGAAGTAAAATAACACAGTGATCGATAATCGTTGTAGATATGATGTTAGGAAACGTTGTCAGAAAGACTGAATAACTTGTTTGAAGTACCGTCAGGAATTGGTAGCTGGTAGAGTTTAATTATATAGCAGTTTATTCATTAGACATTATCTCCTGCCTTTTGCCTTGTCTTTCAGGCCACCGTTTGATCTGATTAGAAAGTATAACTTTCAAATCTCGTCATTGCTTAGCATGACATCTAATTTGTCCAATTTTTTCACATTAAAATAACTCTTCATTTCTCTAATAAAGTTCATTCACAAATCAAAGTTTAATATATTGAAGTCTGAACAAGATCTAATTACTGTATTGAGCCAAATGTATTATATAGCAGACTAAATCAAATTTAGTAAAACAAAGCTCAAATATGCACTTAAATGATTGGAAGTCACTACTGTCTTCAAGATGTAACTCTTGGAATTCTGGTGAGATGTCATAAACCGGTTGAATAATTTTCTTGTCCATAACAAAACAACAATGATTTTGGTTAAAATAAGATATTTTCTTCGTTTCAATAAAATAAACTTTGTTGATTCATTATTCTACGTGTGAAATAAAAAATATGCCAAGGTTTTTAGTACTTTTAAATTACAATACTATATACATGTACATATATATATATATATTATTCAGTGCTACAAAATAAAATCATTTTACCCACTGTTTTGTTAAAACTACAATTTTGAAGGATCAAGCCAAAGAAATAACCAAGCATTATTTAACTTATTCCAAATTATAACATTCTATTAGAATGAATGAATTGGTAATGATTGTAGAGTTCTCATAATTTCATAACAAATGGTTATTTTTAGCTAGATCACTATTGAAAATCTGGGTTCACTGAACGGATGTTTCTTTCTGGTTTAAAGCTCATCAACACTGAGTATTTACGACTCCACATTCGGGACTCCAACCCAGGAATTTTAATCTTACAAGTAAACGCTTATTACACATTGTAACAACATGTATTAAATAATAGGAGAATGAAAACGTTTACAAACATAAATATGGATTTAGTAGATTGCTGGATAATACGTTAACGTTTGAGTTGAATGACGTGATTTAATTATGCGATATTGATGTTAACACTTTAAATTCGGTATATCCAGTTCACAGGTCCCTAATAAAACAAAACGCATGTTTTGGATTCTACTACTAGCCACTGATAGAGAATAAGAAGTTGTGAATTGCTTGAGATTGATATACACGTACACTCACATGGTAG